ATATTTAATTTTTTGTGTATTTTTTCGAAAAGTTCATTAAAAAATAAAAATTAAAAAAAAAAAAAGTACCCAAAGGTCAATGTCTAAAAAAGTTATGACTATTTGAAAATAAAAAGCCACTTTTTTGGGAAATTCAGAACTTTTTTTGGGTTGGACAAAAAAATTTGACAAAATTCTCTAAAATGTTTTCAAAGGATAGAAAAGAATATTAAAGTTTCAGCTAAATCTAAAGGGGTCGAGTTCAAAAGTGGGCGATTTGGGATGAAATACCCCATATGTAGTGGCAGTATATTAAATTATATTTCAAATATGTATACAAGTTAATTAAAATTTTTTTTTATTTTCAATATGAAACTTTAGACGATGCTACAGCTTTGAGAAACAACTTTTATGGTGAACCAATGAGGATACGAACGTTAAAAATAACAACATATAGCCCTCAAATTCCCAATAATGACAAAAGTCAGCAGAAGCCTATAACAAAAGTTTGTAAAATGATTAAATTCACACATTAATTATTTAGTTATTAAATGTTTTCTATAAGTGCATTTAACATTGTCTTTTTTTTTTTTTTTAGACGAGTCAAGCCAGTTCACTAATGAGAAAATCTCAACATTCAGGGAAGCGTTACCGAGGTCTCTTACCGTCTGGAAATGGAGATTCTTCCAGCGAAGAAGCTGAACAAACACATGATGACGTCAGTTGAAACTATAGAAACTAACAAATTAATAAACATTAATTTTGTATTTTTTTGTTAATAATAACAAATAAACATTTTCAGGCAATACTAGATGGACATGATCCAGAAAACCAAGATGTTGGTGATGTTGACACTATAGTGGAACACGACGAAGATTCTGAGAGTAATGTTAATCCGAGAAGAAGAACTGTTCCTTCACCACCAATACGCAACGATACTTTCGAAAGAGTTCGAGCAAGATCGGCTCGATTGTCAGGAACAGGCTCATCGTCTGGAAATAACGGACGTCGGTCACGGCGAGTGAATAGTGTTATAAGACGACCATTACGTAGTAGACAAAGTTTGATAGCAAAAATCAAGAGCTTAGAGAGGTCAGTGAATTCATTGAGAAAGACTGTCCGAAAATTATTAAAAAAAGTTGGTCAGGGAAATGACAATGTTACGCAAGAAAGGTATCCTGAGTTAGAGCAGAGAGTTATTGTCGAAGGTGGAAATGAGGTGAGTTCTCTTTCTTTTTTCTTTCTCTATTTTTGTCTTTTTTTTTTTTTTTTTTTCAAATCATTCAATTTAACGGTGGATTTAGTGTTATAATGATTGAATTGCGTCAACATAGTTGTGGCGATTTTCAATGTTTTAAAAATCTTTTTTTATCGAAAACAATTTCCAAAAAAAATAAAATTTCTGATCCTAAAATTAAAAAAAAATATTATTTATCTAAAAATTGACATTTTTTGTAAAATTACTATTTATACCTTTTTTTCGTTTTTCTAAAAGATTTTCATTTATGTTTATGGGTGATTCTCTGTAGAGATGTTTTTTGCTGTCTCAGGCATTTTCTTATTAGAAAAATTGTTATATTGTTACTAAAAAAAATTAATTACAAAAATAAAAAAACATTTCTATTTGGAGTATTGAAAACTAAGATGGAATAAATTTTGGTTTTTTTGCTATAAATTCATGAACCACCGAAATGTCAGTCCCCTGGGCTGTCCCAGTCCCAAAATTAAAACTTTAAGATTAAATTTTAAGTTATTCGTCAATAATATATAATTTGATCCATAATGTTTGTAAACTTAATTAGTTAACTAACAATCTTCTTCAATG